CATCACTTTTTTCAGAATGAAGCACCCTACTGGTCATGCTCCTGTCTTAAAACATCTTCGCGCAAATCCTCAGGTAAACATAGCTTCCATTCATAACGATAGTCCATAACATCCGTGGGTGTTGAAACAAATTTATACAGTTTTGCGTCTTCTATCTTGAAGTCGGAGAAATCCTCTGGAGACTCCTCAACTTTCCTATACGTTTTGGAATACCAATCATCCTTACTCAGATCAACAGCTTCTACTGCGCGGGAAAGGGCATCCGGAACCACGTTTTCGGACCCTTTCCGATGCTTAACCACCATGTCATATTGCTGAAGCAGCATGCTCCACCGGCTTAGTTTGGATGATGGTTTCCATTTTGAGTTCATTATAAACGACAGAGCAGATGAGTCCGTGATTAAAGTAAATCGTGTTCCCTCGACATACGGTCTAAATTTTTCAATGGCCTCTAGTGCGGCCACACCTTCTTTCTCTGCAGCCTTCCATGATCGCTGACACATCGTCAGCTTTCGTGAAAAATATGATATCACGTGTTCTCTTCCATCCACGTCCTGTGTGAGAACTCCCGCAATTGCAGTATCACTTGCATCGGTCTGGATGGTAAACGGTCTTCCAAAATCTGGGCAGGCTAGAATCGGCGCTGTTATCAGTTTTTCCTTAAGAACAACGAAGGAATCCTCAGCTTCGTCACTCCATTGAACTGTCTTGGGTTTTCCTTTTAGAAGATTTGTCAAGGGAGCTGTGACCTTACTGAACTCCGAGATGAAGCGCCGGTAATAATTTACCATCCCCAGAAACCGTCTCAACGATCTGACCGATGCAGGACGTTCGAAGTTGATGATTGCTTCTATTTTATCTGGATTCGGCCGTATTCCATTCTGTGACAGCACGAATCCCAAATACGGAAGTTGTGGCACACAAAACTTGGACTTCTCCAGATTTATCGAAAGGTTAGCGGCTCTAAGTCTTCTAGCTACTTCTCTTAGACTCCGGAGATGTTCCTCGAACGTGTTGCTTGCAATGACGATATCGTCAAGGTAGACAAACACGTTTGGTTCCAGTTCACCATACCCTAAAACTTGGTCCATTAGTCTCGACAGGGTTGCCAGACTATTGACCAGCCCAAATGGTAGCCTGGTGAACTGGAACAACCCTCTTCCAAACACCCGGAATGCCGTATATTTCCGAGACTCGGGTTCCAACGGGATTTGCCAAAAAGCCTTGGACAGATCAATCGTCGTCAAGTACTTTGAAGCTCCCAGTCTTCCCAGAATACGGTCCTGGTGTGGAAGAGGGTAGGCATCTCTACGGGTCCTTTCATTAAGCTTCCTGGCATCCAGACACATTCGCACCTTTATTCGTCCTTCTGCTCCAGATTCTCCTTTCTTGGTCACTGGAACTATGAGAAGAGCCCAATCGCTGTTCAACCGTTCCACGACACCGGCTGCGATCCATTTATCTAACTCCTCATTCACGCTTTTCTGTATTTCCGGCGACCATGGATACGGGTTTAAACGAATTGGACCACCATTTTTAAATTCATCCTCGAATTCTATTTTGTGGGTTATCAAGGGGGTCATATCTAATCCTTCTCCTTCTGTAAAAACTTTAAATTCCTTTTTCACGTCTCCTAACAGTTCGTCCTGTTCAACTGTCAAACTCTGATTCTCTTCTAATTCCGTTTCCAGTTCCTCTATAACGCAATCCTCCTGATTTACCGTGGGTTCTATACTAAACAGTTTCCAAAAATTCATCCCCAAAATAAGACGACGATTCAAAGTTGGTGCTACGATGGCCGTTGAACGTCATGGGTAAATTGACGAATCCCTTGACTTCTAATGCGGATCCTCCAGCAATGGTCAGCTTCAGAGCAGTCGGCTGCAGCCTCAGTTTCAGGTCATGTAACAGTCTTCCGCTACCAAATCCTAAAACCGTCATCTGCGCTCCGCAATCCAGCAAACCAATCACCTGAATACCCATAACATCCACCTTCGCAAACGGACGATTGTCTCCATCTACCCTAACTATGAGTTCCCCTATTTCTGAACTAAAAGGAACGAACTTGGTTAGAGGCTTTGTAGACCTGCATCGACGACCTCTTACATCGACCGCTTCTCGTTTTTTGCACAATATGGGCATTTCTCGGTCGTAAAATCGTGAAAACCACAGATCGTACAAAAGATCTCCTTCTTCTTCAAACAGGTGTTATAATGGTGGAAATTTCCACGACAATTAAAGCACACTGTTCTCTCTGGAACACGATAGGTTGCTACCCTCTTCTCCAGTATGTTTTTGCTGTTGCCTTGTTGAGGTGGTGGATTTTGTTTCGGCTTCGACTGATCAGCTTTCCAGTTTTCTGCTGCAGGATTCCGATGGCCTCTGCTCTCGTTACTAGGACCCTTAAACCCACTCGAGTTTTGCTGTTTCCATTCTGGTCTGCTCCATGTTTTCCTGTCCACCCAATCCTTTGGAGGTGGCTTCTGTTCCCTCTGAAAAGGCCGCGAATTGATCTCGTGCACCTGCGATGTTCGGTAGCTCTGCTCACCTTCTTTGCGGTACAAAAACCAGTTCGCGGAATCTAACTTTCGACCCCAAACCTTCAGCGTCCTCAACGTTCGGACACCCTTCACCAACAAAGAGTTCTTATAGTCCGAACGGAGATTTCTGAAAACTATGTCAAACTTTCGCTGATCTGTTGGTGGAATTGCCATATGGTCGCAAATCTCCTTAACTGCATGGTAGTAATCCTGGAACATCTCACCTCTCTTCTGTCTTCGTGATGCGGCTTGTTGTTCATAGTGAAAGTCCATGTCCGGAGGTTGGTACTCCAACTTCAGTTCCGTCACTAGTTCGGTCCAGTTTCGAAACTCCTTGTTCTTCCTTCCTTCTATGTACCAGGCCCTTGCATCGCCCGAAAACAAGTGGATCGCCTCATTGAACAGACTCCGCTTACTAATGTTCTCAGCTTCTGCCATAAACTCCACCTCAGAGACGAATTTATTCAAATTCTTCCCTTCATCTCTCCTGTCGTACTTTAATTTCCAGTCACAAACTGGTCTTGGTCTTCGCTTCAATGTTTTTCCAGCGTCGCTGTCTTCAGCGCTCTCGCTACAAACTCGCTCGCACTCCGACTCCCTATCTACGTCACAATCGCTAACTTCAGCCGACGAATCTGAACTCAATTTTCTCTTTTTCTTCGTGCTAACTTTTCCATCCCTACTTTCACCCTGTTTCTTTAATTGTTCTCTTGCTTCTACTTTCGGTTTCGGTTTGCTGTCCGTTATTACTTCTGGTTTCCCTACAGCCTTGTTTCTAGACCTGTCCACCTTTCCCGACGCATGATTCTTATGTGAGCTAGCTCCTATGTTCAAGCTCTGGAGTTTGGATGTAATTACCATATCCATATGCTGTATGATTCGGTCAAACAGCTCATCCGCGTTAACGACCTTTGGATTTTGGCGAATAGGAGTACTGGACTTCCTGCTATCCGTCAAATGCCTATTTCTCACGGTATCTTCTTCGATTTCCTCTACTAGCTCTTCATGTTGCTCTTCTTCCTGTTCTTGCTCTTCATGTAGTTCTTGTTCCTCTTCCTCCTGCTCTTGTTCATTTTCGCTTTCTCCGTTCCCAGGCTCCTGAACACTCAATCGGCTCAGATCGTTGAGCAATCTTTTGGAGTATTCCGCTACAGCCTCTGGGTCCCTAGACATCCATGAGAAATAGTCGTTCAATAAACCAAGGGCTATTTGTTCTAACCCGTCCGTGTTGAAAATTTTCTTCAACCGTAACAATCGGAAATAAAGGTGAACTAATCGCGTTTTCAACTGTGGAAATTCTGATTTTCTCGCTTTCCTGTTCTCTAACGATTCCCTAATCATCGCTAACTTTTCATCTATCTGATGGAGCTCCGCCTCACGATCGTCTTCTTTTATCTGCTGCGAAACGAAATTGTTGGTCTCGCGTTCCTCTTTCATCACACCACGTAATTTTCTTCTTTTAATATCCCTAGATTCACCGCTAGAAAACTCAACGTTACGTAATGCAAGCTCATGCTCAAGCTCATCATCGAGAAGATGGATCACGTTCAACGAACGGTACTGAAGAGCATATTCAGAATTCATTGTGCTTAAATTAGGAAATATATACAGAAATTCAATAAAAATTCAGCTATTAACTATAAAATTCAACTAGGTTGACTCAAATTTAAATTCAACTAAAGATATTAAAAATTCAAATAATAAATAAAAAAATAAAATAATAAATTATATACAGACAAAACTTCAAGTAATTCAATAAATTGTGCTATCTTCTGTGTTGTTTTGTATTGTGTATTATTAGTTCATTCAGGACCTTTGAGAATTGTTCCAGTGTAGTTGTTTTAGTGTTAGTCCTGCCAAATTTAGTAACCAACACCAATTTCAAAATATGTCCAGTCTCCGAAACTTATCAAATTTCTACTGCTTTAAGTCTTTTTCCACTTTTTTCTGCACTTTTTCGAAACCGATTGTGGCCAATGTCTTCAAGTTTTAAATCATCAACTCGCGCCCTGTGATTAGCGAAATTCAAGTGTCGGGTATCACAATCCTTAGATTTTTTATTCTAATCGTCCTCCAATTACCGTTCACGACTTTAACGTTGGTCGCCAAGTGAGACTAGATGAGACTCACCCTATGTGGCTCAACCAAGACTCCCGGATATCTAGCTCAGTAGCATGAGACCCCTGAACTGTGTCACAGGGCCGGCATGCTACTTGGTAATTTGGAGGGGTACGCGGAACAAACTGTGCTGAAACTGTGGGATTTCTTATGTGATTGTGAAATTAATTGGAAGCTAAAGTGTGGGTGGAGAAAGTCTAAAAGTTTATTAAAATGGAACTATGGTGCGGATGGTTTTATTGGGCTATTATGGGGTGTGTTCTGTGGGTTTCTGCTTCCTTGGTACGTACCGGTGGTGTTTGCTGGACGGTGATTATGTTGGGCAGCTGTAGTTTGACCGCGATGGCGATCCGTGGCTTAATCACTCCGTCGACAATGGCGGATCGGTGTCTTACACTGGTCTGGAAGATGGCGCCTGGTGACTGGAGCTGTGGTCACTACAATGGCGGGTTTGAGGCTTGGGTTTGCGCTTTGCGATGGCGGTTCGCAACCAGGGAATATAGCAATCCCTGTACAGCTACTGAAGTAGCCTTTTCGGTGTCAACGGCGTCTCCCTTCGTTGGCGAACATCAGCTGACCGTGACAAGGCCACCTTGGTCGAGCCGAGAAGGGTCTTCCTCCTTAACAATTAGGACTACCGAGTCCGAGGATGCTCTCCTTTGCGGCAATTATTAAGCCGGAGAGTTGAAGGTCCTTGACATTTAGACCAAGACAGTCGAGACTGACTTGGTCGAAAAGTGCCGATCGTGAGGATCTCCGTGGAATCCCAAACAAAAGGTCCTGAATGAACACCAGGAACATAAAAAGGTCGTTCTCTGCACTTTGGTTCACTTTTTCATTCCACTCACGTCTTCTAGGCACAAACGCCGGTTTACTTCTAGGCAATGGTTGACCATCGCAGCTATCAAAAGCCCTCCTTTTCCCATCCAGTTTTCAATTCGTTCCTTATTATTTCCTCCATTTTCCTTCCTTGTAGCTTATCACCACCCATCCATATTATCTCCTTCGCCTATTGAGTTTTTCTACCACAGTTGATTATAACACCCTTTCGATCCTGTCACATCCAATTAAGCTTATAAACAAATATCATTTTCAAACTACCTACTAAGACAAATTTATACATTTTTCAATAACAGCAATTTTACCTACAATCCTACTAATCCTACTAACCCAACACTGACACTAAACAAACACTACAGTTTCCTAAAACAACATGCACAAATTAAAACCTAGGACATTGTAACTAAACGGTTACAAGAAGAACCATCACACCACCAACGACTGACCATCTGTCGGAGGAGAGTAAAGTGAGCGGGGCCCTCGAACTCATAAAACATTGTCGAAAGTTGAAAAACATACCAGCCTTCTGCAGATCTTGCAATGACAATCGAAATAACAACCGACAGAGCAAACCACTGAAACTGTTAGGTTTAGGCGGAGATTAGCTGGTTTCCGATCCAAAGCAGCGATTTTATTCGGCGAAAGAATCAACTCTTTGAAATTTTAATTCAAGCGTACATCCCTGCATCATTGGATGGTGCACTTCTGTAACCATCAGGAAGAAGGGAATCTTTTTCCGGGAACGATTACGCTTCCAGCTGTTCGAAATGCGAAATGATGTAAAACACTATCGCAAACTATCAGAGTAACTACACCCGATCCATCGGGAGAAAATCGACTGGAAGAATCTTGGATCTTACAGCGCAACTATCGAAAGATAAACAAACTTTGACGTTTAACTTTTAGCAGGCAACTTTGCCTCCATAAATGCTGCCATAAATCGGAACGGGTTAGGATCAAGCAAAATGGCTTTAGATAAATACAATTCAACGTGCAAGTTTTCTTCATAAAAGCCATTTTAAAACCTTATTAATTTGTTAAGGAATTCTTGAAAGCAAAACAACTTTTTCACAAATGACCCATGAAAATCAACTTTTATGCCACCGCCATGTTACAATTAGTTTGCTTGTTTTTTACAATCTTCGATTTTCAATTAATATTTCCTTAGATATAACTATATTTTCATTCCACATCGAACGCTCGACTGTTTCGGTCAAGTATTGCTTGCACTCCGTAATCGGTACTAGTTTTTTTCCCCTATTGAGGTTTTTTTTTTTTCAATCCGCTTTCATACTGAGTGGTGTTGTAGTATACAACAGTGCAGTGAGCATCGCGGAATTGTAATTGCCGCTCAATCGTTCGAGAAAGGAAGCAGTCATTTCCGGCCGAGTCCGGCAGATGAGCTGTACATCTCTAACCAACAAGTTTCATCGCATCACGAAACGGCAAACTCAAGGTCATCGAGTTCACCAGCCGGCGAGCCAGCCGGTGCTTTGTTGCAAACACTCGAGGGCAACAATAGAACGATCATCACCATCATTCTCACATCAGGATAGATCATCGTCATCAGCCACACTCCGTGCGCTTGTGTGGAGAGTTAAGTAACAAACGGTTATCTTCCGTTCTCCGCAACCTGATTAATCTCCATACAGTGTTGATTAACTTTTCTGACACCTTTTTGTTTTTTCCTGAAAAAATTTTCATTTTTTTTTTCTCTTTTTTTTCATTTACTGTTTTTGTTTTTTGCAAGTTGATTAATCTCCCTATAGTGTTGATTAACTTTCCTGGCATTATTTTTTTCCATTTTAAAGTTTTTTTTTTTTTTTTGCTTTGTTGGATTAAGTATTATTTTTACCGTTATATTTTTTGGATAAGTTTATTTTTTTTCTTATTTTTTTTTTATTTATTATTTTTTTTTCTCAACGCATATATATATATATATATATATATATATATATATAATATATATATATATATATTTCCTTTTTTATGTCGAAATCTGTTGCGGAGGTACTTAAGACCCCGCAATGGATGAAACCAATGATGGCGGGGGTATTTCGCTAGCAGATATCTCCGATGATGAGTCTGTTAAATCTCCATCATTCGAAAATCTGCTTCTCACTGAAGAGGAAATGGATACCTCAGGGGATTCTACTTCGGACCCCAAAACGAGCACTGGAGCTTACCCAAAGGTGATGTCTAAACAACAACCTCCTTCACCCCCTGCCCCCCTTCTCCACCATCGCCCCCTCGTCCACCTGTTCCCCCTACTCCAACCGTTCCCTTAAAAATTTCTGCGACCCCCCGCCATAAAGCTTACCCAAGCGACTCAAAAGGTCCGTGGGTTGTTTTTTTCCGGCCCAAACAAAAACCTTTGAATATTTCTCGGATTTCGAAGGATCTGACAAAACATTTTTCGGCCGTAACCGATATCTTTAAGGTAACGTCAAACAAACTGCGCGTTACCGTTGATGACCTGAAACAGGCAAACCGGATTGTTGCCTGTGAGCTTTTTTCGATCGAATATCGAGTCTACGTCCCCAGTTGTGACGTAGAAATTGAAGGAGTGGTCACCGAATCGAGTCTGACTTGTGAGGATTTCCTGCAAGTCGAATCTTTCGGCATTTTCAAAAACCGTGCCCTCCCGAAAGTCAAGATACTGGACTGCATTCAACTGCAGTCAGTGTCGCACATAGGCACAAAAAAAAAAGTATACCCTCTCAGATTCGTTTCGTGTGACCTTTTCAGGATCGGCATTACCTGACTACGTCACAATTGGGAAGGTTCGACTACCTGTACGCTTGTTTGTACCGAGGGTAATGAATTGCTTGAAATGCAAACAACTAGGTCACACCGCGGACTTTTGTTCCAACAAACCGCGGTGCGATCAATGTGAGGAGGAGCATACGGAGGGTCCTTGTCATGCTACCCCAAAATGCGTTTACTGTAAGGATGCTCCGCATGCTCTGAGTGATTGCCCGAAGTACAAACAGCAGGGAGAAAAACTAAAGCGGTCTTTGCAAGCTCGCTCTAAGCGCTCGTTAGCAGAAATTTTAAAAACGACCGCTTCATCTTCCCAAACCACCCCAAAAAGCAACAACACATTCCACCTCCTGCCAGATGATGATCAGGGCTCTGACTCAGAGGTGGGTGAGAGTAGTCCTTTTGTCTTTAATGGCAACACGAGGAAGCGGTCCAAAATAAACGTCACCCAAAAACCTCGTAAGGCCTCTCGTATGGACTACCAACCTACCTTGACAAATTTAAGAGGTAGCGGAAATGTACCGAAACCCCCACCACCGGGATTTAAATCTTGTAATTTTAACAAGGACTTTCCGCCACTTCCGGGATCATCTAAAACCCCAGATATCCCAGTTTTTCAGCCAGAAAAACAGCTGAATAATCAGCAAGAACATGATGCCATGTTCACGTTTTCTGAAATTGTGGAGAGCATCTTCAATATATTCAACGTCTCTGACTCAACTCGGAACATTATTAATTTAGTGCTTCCATTCGTGAAAACTCTTTTGAAGCAACTAGCTTCTAGGTGGTCCTTCCTTGCATCGATCATATCCTTTGATGGATAATTTTCCGAATGAGGTCGGGGATATGATCTCTGTTCTTCAGTGGAACTGTAGAAGTCTTATACCGAAACTTGACACATTCAAATTTTTAGTTCACAACTCACTTTGTGATGCATTTGCTCTTTGTGAAACATGGCTTTCTTCAGACACCGATCTCCCTTTCCACGATTTTAACATTATTCGCCTTGATCGAGCAGATTCGTATGGAGGGGTGCTTCTCGGGATTCATAAGCTCCATTCCTTTCATAGAATCGATCTGCCTTCCGTGACAGGCATTGAAGTTGTCGCATGTCAGGTAAATATTCGAGGTAAAAGCCTCAGTATTGCCTCAGTATATCTTCCTCCAAGAACTGCGATTTCTCGCCAAGGTCTCTCAGATATCTGCTCAGCTTTATCTGAGCCTCGGTTGATATTAGGAGATTTTAACTCCCACGGTACAGGCTGGGGGGAACTGTACGATGACAACCGCTCAACCCTGATATACGACCTTTGCGATAACTTCAATATGACAATTCTAAACACTGGGGAAGTAACACGAGTGGCCAAACCTCCAGCAAGAGAAAGTAGATTAGACCTCTCCCTCAGTTCGAGTTCACTATCGTTGGATTGCTCGTGGAAAGTAGATCAAGATCCCTACGGTAGTGACCACTTGCCAATCAAAATTTCTATTACCAATGGTTCATCTTCCACTCGCTCGGTTGACATCGCGTACGACCTCACGAAAAACATCGACTGGCAAAAATTTGCGTCCGCGGTTCTCGGTGGTACTGATTCGGTTGAGATACTCCCTCCGCTGGATGAGTACTCCTTTTTATCGCGACTTATCGTTGACTGCGCTCTTCAAGCACAGACGAAACGCGTTCCGGGTGTTTTCGTTCGCAAACGACCTCTCACTCCGTGGTGGGATAAGGATTGCACCGACGCGAACAGCGAGAAGTCCGCCGCGTTTAAACGCTTCCGCAAACACGGTAAGGTCGAGGATTTCGAGCGGTACACCGACCTCGAGAAAACTTTTAAGAGCTTGATTAAAGCCAAAAA